GTGGGGTGGGGGGTATTTATATTATTTTGGGTCTCTAAAGAAAAATGTTGTGAAGTCTTAACAACACATTCATCACATTTTTCAAAACAAAAGTTTTGACAACTTACTTTTTTATTTATGAAGTAGTACGTCTTGATAAAAAATAATAGAAGCTTTTCCAAATCTGCTCATGGTGTGTGCGTGTGTGAAACAAGGCAAAAAAATGAGAAAAAAAATTTAAATACTGAGATTTTTGTTTTACAAGGTCACCCAATCAAATCTCCTTAATTCCAGATGTTTTTGTAAATTTTATTCATCCTGTTGGTTCAAAACTAGTTGTTAATGCTGGTCATTAACTGGTGATGGAAAAACCAGATGTGATAACCTCCAGGTCACAGTGAGGACACTTTGGGTCAGAGCTTCGCTGCAAAATCTTTCTAAATAAAACTCTCGGCTGTTCTTTGTTTCTGCTTTATTTAGTCGCTGGCAACAGACTGCAGCTTTTGTCGCTATTTTCAAATAAAAAAACAAGCCTCTCATTATCCTCAGCAGTGGGGATTTTTCCAGAAATTGTCTCACAATAAAAAGAAACGTCCCAGTTGGCAAACTATTGAAAAGCACCATGAGCGTTTGTTGTTGAAGCAACATGTTGTAGCCCTCACTTCAGTAACATTTAAGCAGTAATTAAGTTTTAGAAAAGTACATCATTAGATTTAAACTTATGTTCAGCAGAGCGTTACAAGTGACATGTGAAAATGGCAGCTAAGTCCTAATTATGTAGCATAATCACCTTTTCTGTTTAGATCCTGTTACATAATCATCTGTTTTGTCAAATGTTTGGCTGCCGTTCAGTCCCAAAAATGTTTGTTTAGCATGTTAAGTGAGTTAGCTTGTTATCAGCTGCTAATAATGTTCGTCATATATCCAGCTTCAACTAGACCAGACCTGGTTTGGACACACAAAACCAGTGTTGTATAAAGTACCACAAAGTGATACTTGAGTAAAAGTACAAGTATCTTACCAAAAAATTACTTTGGTAAAAGTTAGTTTCCTTTAGGAGTATTACTTGAGTAAAAGTCTTAAAGGGCCAATATTATGTGTTTCTCAGGCATATATTTAAATACTTTACCATAATAAAGTATATATGTCACCTTTAGCTGTTATTAAAATGCTGTTTTTATGTTTAAATAGAAAATAAACTTATCTTCTCATCACTTCCTCTTCTAAACGCCTTGAAATTGCCCTCTGTCTCTTTAAGAACCTCCWCCTGCTTCTGTCCCATCCTGTGGGGGCTCGCGCGTGCGGGCGTGGTTTGTTTCGTGCATGCGCTATGATGCAGTTTACTTGGCATCTGAAAATACATTTCCTCAAAGGTATTTTGAATCAGAAAAGAGCTTCACTAAGTGAGAAGTAGTGGATCTCAGCAGACAGTAAGTTTCACTTTCTCTTTGCTCTGTTACTGACRAGAGCCTGTAGGAGTCATGGGCGGGGGGTGGGGGGTGGGAAGGTGTGCTTCGTGATGAGGAAGTTCAGCTTAAAGACACGTCCCAGGGGCGTTTCTGGTACCAAAAGACGTTTCTGGTTCCCACCTGTCATTTTGCTCCTCAGCATGGCTGCCTAAAAATGCTGCAGATTTCTCAAACATGCATGAATGAGTCAAAGCAAGGCATGGGCATGTTTTTTATGAGAGAGTATAACATTATAACATGATGTAAGACTCAAAAAAGTTGATTTTACATGATATTGCCCCTTTTAAGTATCTGATACTTTTTGTACTTAAGTATTAAAAGTAAAAGTATTGAATTAAAATGAGCAGTTAGATTTTCTGTAATGACATTTATTAGTAGGTGACCTCCCCCAAAAATGCAGAAATGACTGTCATATTAAAATAATTTTGTTAAATTTAAGATGCGCTAGTTTAGCTGTTTCAGTTTATATACATATATCAAGGCTGCGCAAACGTTTTCCCCAAAATGAAAATCTATCTGAGGGCTGTGSCCAAATGCAATAATATAATTCATAAAATACAAATACTTCTTAAGTACAGTTCTTTTATTTTAATGATTATGTCCTGCTGGAGTGTGACAGGATTTKTTTGTGTACAAACTAATACGGTATCAGAATTTTACACATTTATACTTCTCATTCAACCATAATTAAATTCACTCCATCTAGGAGGAACAATTTATATGGATAGTATTTATTTTTACAATAACAAACTGGAATGAAAACAAGCAAAATGAAATAAAAGTAACAACTTTCTACTTCTTGCCTTTTTTAAAAATGTAAGGAGTAGAAAGTACAGATAATTGTGTGGAAATTGTAAGAAGTAGAAGTAAAAAGTAGGCTGAAAAATAATTACTCAAGTAAATACAGATACCCAAAAATTCTACTTAAGTACAGTAACAAAGTATTTGTACTTAGTTACTTTACAACTCTGCCCAAAACCCTACATAGTTGGAGAGTTTATTGCAAATGTGAGTTCAAATGAGGTTCCTTCAGAAGTGATTTTATACATGTCAGGTCAAAACTGTTTTTTTAATCTGTGGTAGATTCATAACCTCAAACATTGTATCACACAGCAGCACACAAGGGTGTAGAAACTTTCACAAGGAGGAGGATGTGGGTCCTTCTGTTGTTTGGAGTGTGGTTTCCTGGTGAGAGAAGGAGCTGTAAAAGAGCTCAGATGAAGGAGAGGGGAAATACTGGTTTCTAGTCTTTCTTTAGCTTCCGCTTTCCTCCTGACTCCTTGTGCCACATGCTCCCTCCTTGTTGTTTTTTTTAAACGTACATCCACCATCACAATCTCTCAATCTCAGTCAGGAACTGAGTTCAGGAAATGTCTACATCCCCTTATGACTCCACATGCCACCTTCTCTGATCCTGAGCAGTATTTTCTGGCCTGGCCTCTCTTTGGACCTCTCTGCTGTGGAAGTATTTAACTTGCATCAGTTCGGTTTGAACATCACCATTGTTTTGTTTCTCTCCTGCAGGTTCCAACTCAGGCATGATGCTGGTTCTGGATAACCTGGTGAAGGATGACAGCTCTGGACCTTTATGTATTCAACCTCCAGCAGAATCTTTGACCTCCGAGCCCAACCTGGTCTCGTCTTATCGTCAACGGTCAGACTCCACAGCTTCGGACCGCAGCGGGTCCTCTGTGTGCTCTGTGTCCAATCTGGACTCTGTGGCGTCAGAGAAGAGTCTCGGTCCAAACTTCCGATCCCGGCTGGACTCTGGAGCCTCAGACAGGAGCCAGAGTTCCTCCCAGCGGGGTCGTCTGGACTCTGCTKCATCAGAGAAAAGCAGCGGCTCGTTGTCTTATGCCAGGCAGAGAACGGGCTCAGATTCATGTCAGGTCAGGCCTCGTCTCGGGTCCGGGACTCTCGACGGCATCGGTTTGTTGTCATGGAAACGAACAGACTCAATGACCTCTGACCACAGTGCGACTACATCGTCTGAGGACAAGAGTCCAGTGGAYGAGGTTGAGGGAACCACGAGTGGTTCAGCTTGCAGCACGGATTCAGAGACTGAAAGAAGCCAATGTCCAGCCAGCATTCAGACTCAGTCTGAACAAGACCTCATTCCTGACCAAGAGGAGCCAGATGGGRCAGTTTTCTCTCGAAGAAATGCTGTGAAAGGCCTCCTGAATGGCAACACCAAGAGGGGGAAGGACTTCCAGAGTCAAAAGGTGAAGTATTCAACACTAGGACAGAAAGATACAGGATGTTAGCTTTGAGAATATACTGTGCAGAAAAATAACATAATAAATACAAAACAAAATGTTTTAAAAGTATAAAGTGTGACTTCAGAAAACCTCTAGGTGTCACACTAGAGTATCAAAATTTGGCATGATGACCCAAAACAGAGGTGAAGCTCAACGTGTGGCTCTAAAATATAGTTTTTATTAGAGGTATGACAGTTTATCAGCTGATATTTGCCACTTTTATAAATAATCAGATATTGTCCATAACTGAGCAAATTTAGCTGATTAACTAAGATGATGCAGCAGACTGCTCACTGCTGCCCTTATTATTTTGAGCAAAATGTTCTTTTTGTTTTCTTAAGTGATTATATTTAAGTTAAGCAAGTATGTTTTATTAACATTGTCCAAAAAAGAGAGAAAAAAAAAGGTTTTCAAATAAAACATCTACTGCCTTGATTTCTAAAGCTCATCAACCATAGAAAAACAAATACTGGTTTACCTCTAATCTTTACTAAATCTTTAAAATTTGGTCAAAGCAGAACTACATGAACTTGAGCTTTATCCCTCTTTTTGTCAAACGTTTTTTAATCAGTGAGGTTCATCTTTCAGTTTAAGGGAAAATATTTTTGTGGCTACTGCTGCTTTTAAATCAAATAGATTATGAACAGGAAAAAAAAGCCTTGATGTTCTGGTATAAACATTAATACAATATTATATTATTAAAGAGCAAGTAGTAGTTCTCTGCTGAAAAACAGGCATGTTATTGAGTAGTGAAATATAGTCATCATTTAATGAATGTATTATTGACATATTTTATTTAGTAAAAACTGTTCATTTTTAAATCTATGCTGAGGTTTAATTGTTTTAATTAATGGTCCGTGTGTAACTCAGAGCTGTCTGAGACAGATGATTAGCAGAAAAAAATCTGCATTTATCATACTTAAACCAGCAAAGTGAGGTGCTGAAGTTCATTTCCACAGTCAAGTGCACTCGTCTCCAAATCTCTTTTTATTATGTTCTCGACTAAAGAGTCCAAGACTTCATTCTTTGGTGACACTCCGGTCCCCTCGTCGCTCCGTTACACAAACAAAGTGTCCACCTGAGTGTCTCTGTTTCACCTCAGCCTCACCTGGTGTCAGGACCAGATTAGTTCTCTGCATCCACCAGCTCTGAGAACACAGAGCATCTGTTTCTGTGCTGACTGGTAGCTGTTGAGGAACATTTCCCATCATGGGGGGGCGCACGTAGTCATGACGCCATTGTGTCGCTTCTCTAAATGTGTTTATCTAAGGCCTGCCCCGGACTTCTTTTATTGTTCTCTGCAGTGAAGGCTGAAGCTGAGACTCCTGAGAGTAATGTAAACACTCTGGGGTCCACGGGTGCCAAGACAAGAAAGGAGACCCACACAAAACACAGAGGTTGCATAATAAAAACACCACCAGTTTGTGCTGAAACAGGATTGAGTTTGATTGTGAGCATGTAGTGGCCACCTAAAGCCGCATAAATGTGCTGCAAGCATAGCAGACGTGTGGCTGTCAGTCCGTGTTGACCTTTCTTCCACTCTTCTTCCCATGCTAATTGTTCTGTCATGCTTCTGTTTGTCTTCTCTCGATTTTTAGATAACAGTTAACGGCAATCTGTCACTCACTCACAGCAAAGCCATGGATCCAGGTAAGGATTATCATCCACACCTGCTCAAAATAAAATCAATCAACATACGAACTGATAATGCTCTAGCTGGAAGCTTTCTTTTGTGTCTGTTGTCTCATAAAAGATGAATTTCCTTTTGTCACGATGACAACTCCATAAATATCTTCTCACCATTTTCTGTGAACTGGCACATCAATAACAAAAATGAACAAACAAAAAAGTGAAATAAGTTGGAGGCTAGAAAAAGTAGCTAAATAAGGATGATATTTATTGAAGCCTGTGAAGTGTGTGATGATGTGAGCAAAAGGCTCAAACTGTTTAGAGTAATAATGGCATCAACCTGTGTCTCCTTCAGTTTTTCAGTGTTTGTCTCTGATTTTCAATTTATCTCCTTTCAGCTCCTGAAAAGAAAGATGTTATCTCAGAACAGTTCAGCCGCACTAACTCTGTCCGTGATCGAATGCGCAAGTTCACAGAAGCCAGCCAAAGCCCAAACATCCCGGCTTTGAAGAAAACCCCTCTGAGGAATGGGATCACCTCCGTCAGCGGCAGCCARACAAACGTCTCCAGAGCTGCAGAACTGTTTACACACCCACCAGCATCCCTTAACACGTCTGGAGACCCGCCAGCGAGGCCACGTGTGGGCTCATTGTCCAGCACTCCAGCTGCATCCCACAGTCAGGATGCACCTAACCCAGGAGGAGTGGCCAACAAGGCTCTGYCGTGGGCCGGCCAATCACAGAGCCCTGTGGGCGGGACAGGGCTTCCAGCTGAAAAAGATGTGCCGGCCTCCAGTGAGGCAAAGGAAGAGAGAACCCCAGGGAGAGCAGCTGGAAAAACAGTCCCTGAGGGAGAGGAAGACCCCGACATGAAGACTTTCCTCACCATTGAGATCAAAGATGGCCGCACCACCACCAACGCCGCCTCGTCCACACCGAGAGGCAACATGGTACCCATCACCAACATGACCCCACACMTCACCACTCTGGGGCAAAGGCCAGGTAGGTGCATCAGCCTTAGAGCAGACTAACAACAAACTTTAAATACTTAAAGTGTTTCTGATTGTAAACTCTTAGTTTAGTGGCTGAATGTCTTTTCTCTTCCAAATCATTGGAATCTCAGTTACTGTAAGGCTGGATCATCATGAAGTCGTGATTCATAACAGCTACACAATCAGCCACGTTGACTTRTGCAAATACATGTCAGAGCTGAATAATAAATGGCACGTTGGCACTGAGGGGGGTTTGTCACTGAGTGGACTTGTTGCTCAGCTCGGAGKGGGGTGAGGTCACGGGTCAACAGCAGAGAACATATTTCAGACAACAGAAGAAACAACTGACCATCTGAGTCCAAACTGAATGGTTTTATTGTTTGAATGAACCAGCCCAAACAGTCCAGCGCTTTTGTATATTATGTTCTTTATTTATTGTCTTCCCCCTTTTATCTCAAACAAAACCCAGTGAGAGCTATAATTCATCTGCATCTGTATTTGGATAAGAAAAGTGTTTCTCATAAACCATCCTGTTCAGTCACTTTGCCTGATTAAAGATGAGAGCTGCAGTTTGACACATTACCTTCTTCAGTTTGTGCCCATGTCCCAGTTTATGGTCAAAAAACTAGTTAAATGTGTCTAAATACTTTAAATTTAATATTTTAAGTGTTCAGTACCTTTACAGGCTATTTATCTTTATTTCTTACAATTTTTGCTTAAAGGGGACCTATTATGCAAAATTCACTTTTTAAAGGTTTTTTTACACAACTTTGGGTATGTACTTCTTAAAAAATCAGTCCTAGGACCAAAAAAAGGCACCCAGGGGCATATTTACTGTAAGTAAATGTATTTTTTGTGCATTAACGACAAGTTTTATACTTCCATCATTTTGTGATGTCACAAGCCGTATGACAACCCACCGTAACCTGCGTTCAGCCCCTTACCTAGCAACCCCCGGGTGAGACTCCACCTCGTCAATATAAAAAGCCGTCACCATGTTGTTGTGTAATGTGCAACTCAGTTCACAACAAGCCTCCAATGGGGCAATGGGTAGAGTGTTGCACCAGAGAGTGGGAGACCAGGGTTCGAGACCGGCATGGATACTATTTAATTATTTATTTTCGTTCGTTATGAACACATTTTCTCATGTACCTCTATTGTTTAGCTTATTAAAGCCTTGTTAAAGCCTATTTGTTTGAGTTTCTGAGGTATTTTGACCRCTGCTGCTCCCTGCTCTGGTAACAGCATGCAGAGTGAGCGCAGAGCAGAGGAGGGAGAGAAAAAAAAGGAAGCTGCGACCACGACTCTGCCTCTGGGTCTTTCATATGGTTGTACAACGGAGCTTCTGCTATTATTAGCCATGCTAACGTAAACGCTGGCTTTGGAGGGCGGAGTTAATGTCAACAGATTTTTGGAGGGCGTTACCAACAGAGCTCATTAACATAAACAGCTCTTCTGAACGGAGGTCAGAGCAGGCAGAACTAGAAAATGGGAAATTTTATTATCTGAGAATTATTTTGTGCATTAAATTGAATGAACATGGTCTGGATAGCCCACAGACATACCATAAACATTTCTAGGACCCATAATTGGTCTCCTTTTAAGAAAGGTGATTAATACTAATAATAATACAATAWCAATATTTTTTGTTATTCTCAATAACTGTGGAATATTTTTTAAATTTGTCTTTTAATTATATAAGTTAATTAGAAAACAGAAATGTCATCTRCAACTATAGTGAAAAAAGCAATACATGCAATGTGTTCCTCAAAATGTTTCCACCTCAGCAAAAGAAAAATGAGCAAACAGTCTTTTTGTTTTTAATATGTAAATTTGCCAAGCTTGTAATTAAGCAATATAAGTATTTGAGGCAGTTACTCTAAAAATTATAAAATAACAAAATGTAGTCCTGTTAAGTACTTTACTGGTATTAATGTTTATAAATGTGACTAAATGTGTAAAACAATGACTCCTAGACCCACAGAAAGTGTTCAACCAGAACAGATTAGATGGCCGTACTTTCTTTAGGAGTTTAGAAACAATTATACCTGCATACACAAAATGCATTCATTACATGAATCAAGCACCACTGAAGAACAACAATCACAGATGCAGTTTGACCACTTCAGATTTAAAAGCTGCAGTTTCAGTTCTAAAAAACAAAATACAGATCAGATTGTTTAAAACGTAAAGCCAAACCTGATTAAGTCCAGCCTCTTCACCTCGTACAGTTAATCTCTGGGATTTTCTTCATGACCTTGTTTTCAGCCCAATTTGCTTTAATGGTTCTGGGCTCCTTTTTTGGGCATCTGCTTGTCTTGTTCAGAGTAAAATTTGTTTATTATGYATCAGGTTTTCTGACACCACCCCCCAACCCTTTCACGAAAAAAAAAAAACACCATAAAGGCTTTTAAATGTGCACTGTGTCATGCTGAGGTGCATCACTTCTGTGTTTTATGGTCGAACTTGAGTTCGTTTGTTTGGATGAAGGCAGTAAAATGCAAAATTCTTGGAGTCCAATAAAATGAGTTGTTTATCTTTAAAGATGTGTCATCTATATTTCCTCACTTGTGTTGCATCACTAATAAAATGTGTGTTGTGAACACTGACAGGTTTTTTTTTCAGCTGACTCATTCCTCCCAGCATAAAGCAAGATGATGCAAATGCGCACATATTTACATGCACCAGAATAGTTATTTCCCTGTTTGCAATATTTCAAGTTGTGTTTGTTTCATGTCCATTTTCACTGCRTGTGTTTCAGAGTTGACACTCGGCCTTAGAGCATCGCCGTTCAAGATCTCCTCATCTAGCTTCTCCTCTGGACCCTCCATCAAGGTAGAGTCTTTATTTCAAAATATTTCTGTGAACAGGTCCCTGAAGCTTCGCAGAAACCTGGCAGCATGTCCCAAGCGTTTGAGACAAATCAGATTCCGCTCACTCTCAATTTAAGATCGGGACTTTGTTTCCCAATAAACTGAGTTGAATTCCACTAAGGTTTCTGCTGCATCTCAACAATCACCTATAAAGGGCTTAAAAGCAAGCAAGCCAGGACAGTGTGGGGAAAAGGAGGAAGAGGAGGGAAGAACAGTGTTTATCAAACACAGAGAGGGTAGCCAGTCACATCTGTCCTTGTAGGGTATGCTAAGCAGACAGAGAGAAGAAGGGAGGTGTTCTGGGTATTCTTGGGTTTTCTCTCTACACTGATTTATTTCTGGGAGTTGTTTTTCTAAATCACACCTATCTGTCTTTACCCAGAGTAATTACTACACCATTGTGCTGATACAAATCCTTCATCGCCTGAGCTTTTCTTGGAGGGCAAAGAGACTCCGMTTTGTGCAATTTGCTGTGTGTTGAGAAAATTAGCAGAAAACACAAGCAAATCCCCTCTTATCTCACTTTGACCTCTATGGTTAAAAAAAATCTCCCATTTGTCTCATTCTTTAAACATTTTGCCCCTCCATGAAAGGAAGTGGGCTCGTGAAAGGGGAGTAGGGGATTGAGAGAGTGAGGAAGCATGAAGCAATGTCCTGTTTACTCTTTAAATGATTGTGTATTCAGACCGTAATCTGGTTATGGGATTAAGAAGTTGGTTAATAAGGGAGGACTCTACCCTGCAGCTCTGTGAGAAGCATTACAAGACTGCATGGTGGATTTAAAGGTTTTGAATGAGACAGTCTCCATTACTGCGGTACTTTTGAGACACAAGCACTAGAACACAAAGCCATTTTTATTGTCAAATGCACTGAGCAGGATTATGTTTAGTTTAAGCTAAACGCAGTGTCAAGAGGTTATAGGTAAATTTAAATATGATGTTTCATTGTAAAACAAAGCAAAACCACCGTCACAGCTCAGACTTTATTCTGCTGCATGCATCAGTTTCAAATCATCTGATACAAATGAATCATTCTTTGATCCCAGTGTCATTTAAATTTGACAGATCATAAAAACAGCTGCATCATAATTGTGATAAATCACAAATGCCACTTTATTTTTGTCTCTTAGGCAGGCTGTTAAATGCACTTCATCTATTAGATTTTCTTGTTCGCTGGAGCCTAAATGACTCTGCTAATGGGATTATATTTCAGCAATCAGATGGTTAGCATCAACACTGAAGGTTTAAACAAGGCCACTTGATCCCATAGATCCAGATCTTACTTGTTTTTTAGCTTTCCCTGGTTTAGTGAAAGCTGATGTTCAGGGAGCAGGAGAGGTTTTTTTAAACTCTTTGTATATTTTATTTCAGCAGCTGTGCAGATATCTTAAGCAGTGTAACATGAGTTTGACCAAACTCTTCCTGCTTGGTGGTGTTGATTGTTTATCAGCCAGCACGGTTCCTGTCAAACTCTGATCCGTTTGGGTGGTCCTGGACTTCTCCTTGGTGGTCTAACTTCATCGCTCACATCTTCCTTCATTAACTTATTAGTTTATTTGTTTTTTTAATCCCAATTAAACATGTTTATGCTGATGGTACTGGTTTGCAGGGGATTGTCTTTTTAAATCAAAGTTAACAGAAACAAAGTGGTTTCTTGTTAAATGTAATAAAGGTCAAATTGAATTATGGACAAGATTTTTTCAAAGGTCCATTTAGTCTTTAGTGGAGTCTAAGATTACATCCAAGCTGCATGAACTGGACACACATCTAAYCGCAGTTTGTGACTGTCCCACAGATTGACAAAGACCTCATTGTGTACATGCTGCTGATCTATGACATGGTTAGTTATGTAACCAGTTGATATGTGTCCCAGAGAAATTGTAATATCTGATGTCTGGGCTTGTTCTTCTAACTGATATTATGTAATTTTTTTTGAATGGCCTGGATTATACATGTGGGGAACATTTATATTGTCGTATCTCTCTGAGACTCTCCTCTAYAACAATCATAAGTACATTTTACATTCATGCAGAAAGTTGCCTGTACCACAAAGTCTTTTTATTTCTTTTTACTKCATTGGCAGATTGTTCTCTGTGTTGTGCAGGGTAAGGTTAGAGCAGTGTCCTCCTTTGGGAATGACCCATTTTCCTTGTTTCCACACTCTGCACTTTCCTTTGGGACTGTGTTTTTTCCAGGGAGCTATTTTCCCAACCTGTTAAGGTCAGAGACAACTTGCTGCCCTTTAAAATGTTCTCCTCTGAGCCTTAGTCATGTTGATTTAAAATGATTGATGTGTTGTCTTCATGTATTTCTGAGGAATATAAATATTAGTTATATTAGTCAGTTTCTAAAACACAGTCTAATCCTCTGTTTGCACGTTTAATGCATTCATTATTTATACATGAATCAAAGATTTATCTTTGCCACTTGCTTTCTCTGCACGAGGGGCACCAGGATTAGAAATCTGAAGTATGCTTTTTAAAGAAGTACTTGAACATCAAACAGGATTATGTGCATACACAGGCTTCTGTCAGCGCTCCTAATTTAATACAGCAGCTCTTGAACTTTCCTTCTGAGCAGCAGTTGGACTTCTGCCAAATTGCCAATAAGTTTAAATCAAAAGTTTGTAAAAGTCCTGGTGTCCTTCCCAAGAGCCCTGCTCAGAACTGAACCCCCAGCTCATCACCACCGGGCACTCAGCCTGATCTGTCACGGCTCTAAATATTTTGCCCTTCATGGTCTGATCTCCCCGGTGGAGGTCTACTTTCAGTAACTGTTTTGCAGAGCGATCATCCTGGACTCGCCTGCCTTGATTTTAAAAGTAATTTTAATTGAAGTGAGAYGCTGAATTTGAAGGCTGCCTTGGTTTGGAGCAGCATCTTGAACCCGCGTTGCCTTCCAGTCAAGGTGTGAAGGACGTGGCCTAAATAAAAAGAAAAGTTGAAGTCGGAGGGGTGAGTTTTTTTGATTTGTTCCCCCCTCTTGTTTCCTCCCAGAGCGTGACTGGCTCAGTGGAATAATAGGAGGGCAGGGGGACAAACGCACATGTGCACCTAGAAAATAAGTGGGTGGGGGCTGCCTGAGAAACAGTCTGTTCTTGCTAGTGCTGTACCAAACGATTATTTTCTAATCGATTAATCTAATGATTATTTTTTCGATTAATCGATTATTCTATCAACAAATCTAAAAGTTATTCTGATGTGAGTGCACTGGTTATTTAAAATGTTTTCATCAAATTAATAGGAACAGTTCTTTAATATTGTAATATTTTCTGTAATAGTTTTTTCATGGACACAAAATATGCACTCTAGAGTCAATTCTTTAACAAAAAAAGCTTAAGAGATTTAACATCAACATAAAATCTCAACCAAAGCATATAAAATTCAACTAAAAGAAATATAGTGCAAGATGTTAACAATCTAACGAACTAAATCATGCAAAATTCAAGTCACTCTCCGGAAGACCTATAATAAACATATAATAAACATTTATTTATTATTTTTTATTTAACATATTTATCAATATATAAAATTTAACAAATATCAAGACAACATCCAACTCTTTGTATTGTAACATCAGTTGTGTAACTTATTTCTTTAAGGTGAAAACTGTTGAAAACAACAAGACTGTTTTGTCTTATTACACAAATTAATATCCAGCTCCACGTATTTCTATTGATGTCATTTCCCCACTAGAAAAATGTGTGATGGAGGTCCATGGACAGCAAATAAGTTTAAATCAAATAAACAAAAGAGGACACAGTTAAAATAAATAAAAGGTATTTAAGCTACGTTTTGAACATCCAGAACACGTCCAACACTTGTTGGCTGCTTGTACTCTTTAGGTCAGACGTGTGTCGGGAAGCTCCTCTGTTGTTTGAGACGCTGGGGGAACCGTCTGATGGGGGAACGCGGCTCGACCTAACACCGGTCTCTGTTTAATGGTGGATGAAATAAAGAAAGTGGCGGTACTTTATTTACTTTGAGCAAGTGAACGTCGTGTTCACAAGATAATTAATCCACCAGATAATTCAGAGGCGGTCTGTTCGGTAAATTTTACTCCAGGAGCTGCGAGGCTTGTTTTCAAGCTTCAGACTGAACTGAAGCAGCGGCTGCTGACGTCATWACGCTCTTGCGYGATGCTGCGTTCAGGACAAGCATGGAAAACTCACCACTCTTATGCCAGTACGGTCACAATAATGCATTTAGGTACCAAAATGGAATTGCATGAACATTCACGTGGTGGTTATGTAATACAGCGAATCGATAATAAAAAATCTGCATAGACAAATTTACATAATCGACGTCATCAATTATTTCAACTAATCGGTGCAGCCCTAGTTCCTGCGTACTGATTGGCTTTCAGCTGCCTGCCTGTGAAGAGGGGTGATGTGCTGAGGGTATAAAGCACATGTTTTGTCTCTGACTKTCAGAAAAAGACAGAGGGAATAGGTTTTAAGAGAGTCCACAGCATTGCAATTCTCTACTTTTACTCCTGAAAGTATTATTTTCATGTGGATATACCTGGGGTGAGCCTGGACTTCCTCCCAGCCTCACAGYCCACTGAGACTTTGGGCACTCCAGATAGTACTTGTGCAGAATCTGGCCTGGAAGAGGAAGAGGTGATCGGTGATCTGCTTGCCCAGAAGGATGTTGGAAATGAAGATGAATTTAATGAGAAAGTTTGATTTAATGTTGCAATGTGCTGTGAGGGAAATCCATAGTGACCTGCAGGTCTTTGAGAAGGAAGTGGATGTCTGTCTGGAGGAGGCAGCAGCTCAGCTGGCTCCTCTGTTTGAGGCTATCAGCAGGCTGCAGGAGGAGAACGTGAAACTAAGGACTGAGCAGGAAAGGATGGTAAGGCAAGTGGAGACCCTGTTCCAGGTGATGGGACTACCTGACCCCAAACTAGAAGAACTCGGCAGCAAAGAAAGCTGTGCAGTTCTGAATGAAACCAAAACGTTACGCAATGATGCGTCAACAATCATACACGAAGAAACTGCACCTGAAGCTTCACATGATAGTTCGGCCTGCACACCCCAGGAACCAGCAGCCAGTCTGGTACTGCGTCATCAGACAAACATACCTGAAGACAAAATACCAATCCTCCAGGCTTCAGCYCCATCCTCTAAGAGCTCACCTCAGAAGTCAGAGCCTTCACTGATCTCTCACCCACCAAACTKTACAACCCATCGCTCCCTATCCGCTCCGTCTCTGACGACAAACAGTTCTTCAAACAGCAGCACTGTACCCCTTTGTGTAAATCCTTCTCACCGTGACCYGTTTTAAATCAGATAAACCATTTGAACAATGGAAATGTCTTTTGTCCCAGTGTTCCTGTGGATCAGCTGGCCTTGACTTTTACRTGCCGCACCAGTGGTACTGTCTTTGTTCTAATTGTGTTCCTGTTGACTCACAGTCACCTCTCTTAGTGTTTATCTGGTTTTAATCATTCATTATGTTCACATTTTAAATGAAGAAGKTTTGATGGCTTCAGCTGTCAGTCAGATGTGATGGATGTGGAGGATTTAATGTGGTATTCCAGTCCTCTAATGCCCCTGAACTTGTCCTGGCTCGCAATCATGTCTCTGTGTCCTGTTGAGAAGCTGGACATCAGTGTGGAGGGGAATTTAGAGGTTTGCTACAATTGTTATATTGGGTTTCTGTTAAAAAAAAGGTTGTGAGAGAAAGTCTCCAGAAAATGTCAAGATTATTAATTTTCACCCAGGAGATTAATCAGCTGATCCAGGCAGTCATTGTKTGCACAGTCAGCCCAAAAATCACAAAGTTTTGTTTTTCAGAGCTGGATTTGGATTAAATTTCTTCCTCCTAAATRGCTGAAATTGATGCACAGTTTTATGTCTATCTGCTGAATCCTGTGGTTTACATTTTTTAGGGATATCGAGCATTTGCATCATCTTGTTGATTCCATCTTTTATCTTTTTTAGTCTGTAAAGGCACCAGCCTCTGCCTGTTGACTAATTCGATGGAACCGACTGATTTCTCAAATGTGATAAAGAGGTCTAACCTTATCTGACAATCTTTGTTCATTATGAGTGTTGTTCTCCTTATCAAGTTTGCAGAATTGCGYATATAGAAAGTAAGACAAAGTAAAAAGGTAGGATGATTTCTGACCCGYTGCCCCAAGAAAACATTTAAAAAGTGCTTTTTCATCCCACATTGACCCTTAAGGGACTTGATTACTTGGGTTATTTGGGAGTTTCTAGTCCCTCAAACACGCCCTCATTAGTTGATCCACAGCCCTTGTTTGGCTTTGTTGTGTCCCAAAACATTCCTCATTGGTCAAGGGCGTCTCAGTGCAGCCTGTCCCACGGGGTCAAAACTCTGTGTCCAGAAAAACCTTTAAGACTGGGAACACCTTTGATTGCAGAGCTCTGTAGCTGTGGTGTGTAATGCTGCTCCCTGGTGAGGTCTGGTCTGGGCCTCCAGCGGAGTGTGAAGCAGCTGTGGGTAGAGAGCTGGCCCCAGCTGGTTGAGCTATATCTGAACATGGATTTAGTTATAACAAAAGCGTTAAAGCCAAAGCTACAGGATGTACTCAGAGATGGTCAGTGCCATATGAACATATGACAGAAATTAGTTTTGTTCTTGATGTTTTTCCAATAAGAGCTTTTTTAAAATGTCCACAAWTAAACAAGGCAATCTTAAATGATACAAACACCTTTTTTATTATTTAAAACATTTTGTCATAGAATAGTTTTTTTATAATGCTTATAATATGTTTGTTCCTTTGGTCATATACTTCTTCACCTTTGTTCTGTTCCCACACTCTCATCTGGTGACATGCCAGGAAGCATGACATTAAAGCATCGTTCCCGTCCAACGGTGATAGTGTCACATAAACTGTTGGTTGGCAGGAGCCTGATRTTATCAAGACACTCAGTCACACTCTGAGCTGAGCAAACAGTACCCTGGCAGAGTTTCTCCCACTCATGTGCTTTCTGCCTCTCTGTCTCCCTCTCTCTGGCACAGCTTCATAACAGAGTTGAAATGGAATAATAGGGCACTTATTTGTACACAAAAACATTTGAAGTTGGGCAAAATTCAGGGCTTTGACGGCTGCGATGTGTTTGGTCAAAATCCTCACATGCTTATTAAGTAGAAAATGCCATGTTTGTTATTTGTATATTTTGTGTAGATGGAGACTGAACCCGTCGTTGCCTCTGAGCCGGTGTTTTCAGTTGGACAGTCTGCGCAGGTGAGACATCAAGTCTCAGCCATCCCCAACGGATCCAGCTCTCAGACCAAGCCTGCAGAGAGCTCTGGAAAACTGACAGCTGAAAAGCTTGCTTTGATTGAAGATGAAGAGCTTCTTGACAAAATGGTACTTTACATTTACATTTGAGATTTGATTTAAATATTAAATCAGCTTGATTTAACATAAAGAGTGTGTGACTTTGGAAAATATGCTGCCATGTGTGGCAGTTTTTAAAGCTGTTTGCCATTTTGGCTTTTTTCAAAAACTCACTTTTAATTGTTTTTAAACTCTTTTATTCCTTTTTTTTTTTGCAGCTTGATGAGTCCAAAGACTTTGAGGAGAGGAGGTTGATTCGTGCAGCCATGAGAGATTTGCGCAAGAAAAAGAGAGGTAACWGCATGCCAAAGCCCATCTTTTGTTYYKRAWWAWTWWWAWTYYTKKTT